TGGCTCTGCCCTCCTGTGGTTCTTGTACTGTTAGCAAGATGTTTGCAGAAGTCCTGGGCATTATGTTGACAGGAAGTTACCCAGAAAAAGAAAAAGAAGTGCTTTTACTTCTGTCTTTGCCCAGAAACTGCCCAAAAGTCATCCCCTGTGTCACTGGCCAGAATTAGGTCACAGGGTCATTTTTAAGCCAACCATGCTAGTGGAAAATGATTGCCCTTCATGTTTAGCTTCATATCTATTCCTGGAGCTGTAGATGATGTCAGCTTTCTCTGAATCACACAGGAGACTTTGATTTGGAAACTTAAACAAAATTTAGGCCCCATGAGGAAGAATGTATGAATGGTTGAGTAACCAATATAGTCCATTACCTATTAGTTGACTGCCTACCAAAGAAGATGGTTGAAACTTGTATATGAAGTTTGAATGATCAACATATTAAACATATATTCTTTAAAAACTGTATCATCAAAATGAACTTAGTCACTAAAGAGTGAGCTTGATGGTATCAACGTTCCATAACATATAAGCTATTTATTTTACTATCTCTATATAGTTACACATCAATGAAATTTGAACTTGACATGTGGGAATGAGGTAATCTGGAGGAAAAGGTTTTTAAGGGTTCTTTGTAGAAAGTCTGTGTTTGTTTTATCTGCTGATAAGGACATACTTATGATTCCAACTAAACTACTCTGCTTTATTCATGCTTCTGTTTGAAGAAATAAAATGTGATAGGGGTGCTTTAAATCAATAGATTCAGCTCTCAGGGACAGGATGAAAATGTCTTATGAAACTATTTTGATGCTTTATTAAATTAAAAATGTATTCATTCATTTGTAGAACTTTGGGCACCATGTACATCCTGAGTACTGGGAAGAGTGTGTTGGGAACAAAAGCATTTTCAGTCCTCCAGGAACCTGCAATCTATCATACAGGATGATGATGAAAAAATAATTAAAAGCATGGTAAATGTGATGAAAGGAAAAAGTACAAGGTGCGTGGATATGGGCTGGTATGGAAGGTTAACATAGTCAGGGAAGGATTTGATAAGAAAATGTTTAAATGGAGACCTGAAATGTAAGTAAGACTCACTAGAAGAAGGAAGATTTAGGGAGAAAGTATTCCAGGGATTTGAAAATCATAAAGCATGAAGACAAACAAAAATTGCTGACCAGTAGTGAGCAAGGAGGTGTGTAAGAAGAGGTGGAACTAAAGAGGCAGGGTGAATTTGGAAGGACACTTGGTGGAGCTGGCTTTTATGGAAATGTCAATTGGAAGTCATTGAATAGTTTGAAATACAAGGGGAACACAATCAGGTTTGCTGTTGAAAAATACCCTTCCAACTGCCATGTAGAGAATGGATTGGAGGCGACACTACTTTTCGGATATGGTCCAAAAACAGCTCAATTTCATCTTTTTTTTTTCATAAAGTGAATAAAATTAATATAAGATTTTGTCTGTTTTCCATATAGTAAATAATATTTTTGACAAATGATCTTTTTTTTCCCAGTAGTTGCTTAATCTCTCCTTCATAGGGAAGGTTTAACTCATAGGGAGGAAATGAAGCAGAACCAACTTTAGACACCATAAGCTTGGCACTAGTCCAATGCATGTTGTTTAAGTATATTCAGAAACAGCTACAAAATATTTAAGTATAATAATATAACTTTCCTGAGAATTCTATTATCATAATTGACCAGAATTAAAATGAATATAAGTAATGTAAATAAATTATATAGACAACATTTAAAAATCTATTAAGAATAATACAGTGAAGCATCTAACTTGGAAAATAAAACATTACCAAGTGGCATTTGTTTTCAACGAAAATTTTACATTCGATATTGAGGCACTGATTCCTCAATTTTTATTTAAATGGGAATACATCTCATATTTACTTAATTTTGCAAAAATTGTTTTACTAGAGGTGTTTTATAGGATGGAAATTTTTTTATATTTAAAATAATTTACACACATAGTATCAAGAAGATTTATAATCAGTAAAGCAGCACAGAACATACATTATGTTCTAGACATAAAAGCAGAAGATTTTGTGGCTGCCATTAGAAATAATTAAGTCTTGGGTCAGACATGGTGGCTTAGGCCTGTAATCCTAGCACTTTGGGATGCCGACGTCAGTGGATCACCTAAGGTCAGGAGTTCGAGACCAGCCTGGCCAACATACTGAAACCCCATATCTACTAAAAATACAAAAATTAGCTAGGTGTGGTAGCAGGCCCCTGTAATCCCATCTACTCAGGAGGCTGAGGCAGAAGAATCAGTTGAACCCAGGAGGTGGAGGTTGCAGTGAGCCTATATCATGCCCCTTCACTCCAGCCTGGTTGATGGAGCTATACTGTCTCCAAAAAACAAAACAAAATAAAAAAGAAATAATTAAGTCTCATACACATAAAAACTAGAATGGAAAGATTTTAAATTGAACTATAGCTTTGTTAAGAGTGTTTTTAAATAAGATTTTGCAAAATAAATTTAAAAGCTTGATTATAAAATAATTCAAATCCTTTAAAATCTTCCATAAACAAACTGGAACCTCCAATTGTTCATATAAAACATGAACGACCCTGTCAGTACAAAAGAATTAAAAAATTAGCTATGCATGGGAGTGCGTGCCTGTGGTCCCAGCTACATGGGAGGCTCTGAGGTGGGAGGTTTCCTTGAACTTGGGAGATCAAGGCTACAGTAAGCCATGATTTTGCCACTGCACTCCAGCCTGGGTGACAAAGCAAGCACCTGTCGCAAAAAATAAAATCAAATATAAAAAATTGAAATTCAATGAAACCTTGTCTCAGTTGATAACACTTTGCAAGAACTACTTTTAGAAAAATATTGGCAGTTTAATGTTTGAATTTGTGGAAATCCATTCATTATGCAATTAAATATTTTTGACTTTTCAAAAAAAAATGAACAATATGTAAATATGTAAAACAATATGCCTAACAAGCTTTCTAGACAGCACATGATTCGTAACTGCATTTGTATATTCCGAAGCCTTTGGAGTACATTTAAATTATTTTAAATGTAAATTTAGTTTAGTGTTAAGTCAAAAATATTTAACCAAAATGTATAACTATCATAGTAGTTCAAATTCAGTGTGTTTTAACAAAAACTCTTTCTTAAAACATATAATCATTACAACCAAAATAAATTAGTTTTGTATTTGTCTAAATTCAATCCCGTGTTTTTCCTGTAATGATTTTAAGCACTAATGCAAGAGAGAAGGTCCACAAAATATCTGCTGCTTTATTTTGCATTAATTTGTTTCTTGCATATTTGAAAAAATACATTCAAAATTGAACAAAGTTCAGTCTTCAATGTAACTAAAAAACCAATTGTATTCAAATTGTAAATCTGCGTATTATCTGCAGTACTAGAGTAACATAACTCTAAGAATCAAGTACTCATAGATACTAAGGTCACCGTCAAGACAATCTATATCAATATTGTTCCCTTAATATCATATGTTGCTGAGATGTTCATATGCCCACCTACAAAAGGAATTATATGTGACTTTCGGTGCATCATTTGAAGAAAGTTTGGTTTTGGTCTTATGACAATGTGAAGAGGTAGATACGGAACGTGAGGCATAGGTTTTACATTTCCCTGAGTTGTCACAAGGATCTGCTGATACAATTTGGCATCATTCATGGTGCCAATAATCTCTGTGTGCATTTCAGAGATAAAACATTTAGCCACTCTTAAAGGGATGTAGTAATTGTGAAAAGGAAGATGTTGTGTAAGGTCACTATGCATGGAGATCTTCTGCTTCTCCAATGAGTTCTCATCAGAAAGTGCCTTCTCTTAGTTCCTGGGCTCTGAAGATAGCAGGTCGAGAGCCACACCAAGGCTTTCTACCTGCCTCATTGTGTGCACCCAGGAAAGCATGTTTGATTAACCTGAATTATGAATTGTTGATATAGCATTGTTTGATAATTTTCATAGAATTGCTTGAGAGGGTTATGTCTTCTTTGGTTGAATCAGAAATAGGGTAAAGCTCAAGATTTATTTGTAAAGTTACATCAATGTGATTCTATTTTAGGGAACTTTGGAAGTTAGTTTGAAGGCAACATTTTCGATCAAGTGTCAGTTTCCAACCTTACGAATGAAATAACTCTTGCCCAGTACTTGTAAGCCATATACTATGTTAGAAATAGTCACATTGTTTTTACTGTATAGTGAACATAAAGAACATAACGACCTTTCCCAAAATAAAATTTGAAAAACTATTTAATCTGCTGTTCAATTTAATGAGATTTACTTAAGATGCCTAACTCCAAGTTATTATTACATTTTTAATAAGACAACCCTTTCCTCATTTTTTTGCTCTTTCCATGAGCTAAGTGCAATCTGAATGAACAATATTCAATAACAACAAAACAACCATTAAGTTTTTCCATGAGATGTTTCAGGAATGAAAGAATTCATTTTTGATCATTTGCCAACATAGGGCTATCTGATCCTGGGAAGCTTTCTCTGTTCATTTAATGCCTTGTATAACTATTTACCTTTTTCCTCAAAATCTAACCCAGTCTCAATCTTAAAATAATTCTTATCTTTTACTTAACAGAAAAAGCAGAAGCCATTATTAAACAGGTTTTAACTAACTCACCTTCCTACTTCCATTGCTCCAGCCATAGATGGACTTGCATTTATTGTCGATGCTGACTCTCCCAGGAAAGTCTCTCCAATTTTGCTCTGAATCCACTCACTTGTAACCTTCTCAGACACTGCACCTTATCCATGGCCCTTTCTCCTACACACTCATCTCTCTTTACACTTAAAAGCGCTTAAATACAATGCAGACTCTATTATAATGAAAGCAAAAAGCCCATTTCTTTGGCTCTACCTATTCATCTACCAAATTTCTAGGCCAGAGATTCTCAAACATTTTGGTTTCAGAAATACTTTCCATCCCTAAAAATTACTAAAGGTCCCAAAAGATCTTTTGTTTGTGAGGGTTATAGTCATTGATATTTACTGTATTCAAACTTAAAACAGATATTTAAGTAAAATTTATTCATTTTAAAATAACAATGCTAACATGGTAACATCAATAACATAGCCAAAATAACTATATTTTTATAACAAAACATTTAGTAAAAAGAATGGCAAATTTCTTTAATATTTGGGTTAACAGGACACTGCTATGCTCATATCTTCTGTGTTTAATTCCTTGTGGGGTTTTTGAAGTATATGAAGAAATCTAGCCTCATACAAATATGTAACAACAACAACAACAAAAACTAGACAGGATTATTTTAACAGCCTTTTCAGATCATTGTGGATAGTCTTCTTTGATGACATACCAAAATTTGAAAAGTGAGTTTCGGAGGGGTTACTTGTGATGTGAAATCTGTATTTGGTACTCTGTTGCATTAAAATCCATTCATGTATATAGCATTTTGAGTGGATCTTTCACATGATTTTGTAACTTTGTGCATTGAAAGTTTCTAATATATTGACTCAGGTATGTACAGCTTCCAAATATATGCTGGAAAATTCCCCCACATACTCATGGGATAATGAGAGTTGAAAAAAGGCAAATAACACTTTAATATTAGTATAAAATTAAGTTTGATTATTTCTAGACTGTAGGGCCTAAAGATTAAGAGAGCAGGATCTGGTGTGAGACTAATATGTACAACTATAAGCTCTGCCCACCTTAAGAAAGATACAGGCCTCCTTTTATCATGGGTATAATAAAATACCTACATCATTAGAACTGTTATGTCGAGATTACATCATACATGTAACATAATGGCACACAGTAAATGAAAAAGAATTATATATATATATATATATATATATATATATATATATAATTTTAACATTTCCTTTTAGTTCTGATTTTTCTCCTGTGCTTTCAATTTATATTCATGTTGTCTACCTTTACTTTGTCCTCCCTTCTGGCGTCTCACATTCAGGGTGTATGTGTCCTTAGGTCCTGATGAAGAAAACATTCAGGTTAGAGTCTTCAGCTAAATCCAAATTGGACCAGGAGACAAGCTCATTCACGCTTTTTAAGAAGAAAATTTCTAGAAAGTGGAAAGCAAAGCAAATTGAGTTCTTTAATCCCAGGATCCAGAAGTTTCACATATAAGGATATGACTTATTAAGGGAAGGATATGACTTACCAAGAGAAATCTCTAACTATGTATAGGGCCTCCTTGAGCATATCTGTGATAGGAAGCAGTTCCTCCTTCAGGCTGCTTGAGTTAATGGAACATTTGGGAAGAGCATGTTAGCCTGAGAGAATAGTTGCATTTAGCTCCAGGACCACAGAAAAAAATAGCTGACTTCAGTCATTTTTAAGAAGTCTGGCTCAAGTTGGATTCAAATATCCTGTTTTGGTTACTATTGCTGTGTAACAAATCACCCCAAAATCTGGCAGTGCCACTTACAACCACCATTTTATTAAGCTCACAGAGTCTGGCCTCAGGAATTCAGAAAATGCACAGTAAAAACAGCTTCACCCTGCTTCTCCTTGTCTGTGGCATCAGCCAGGAAGATTCAAAGGCTGAGCAAAAACTGAAAGAGCTGGAATCATCTGAAGGCTCATTCACTCATGGTGGGGCTCAGTGCCTATGCATAGTCTCTCCAGGGAGCCTGAGCTAATTCACAGCAGACAGCTTCGAGGTGTTCAGGCTTTACATGGTGGCTTAGAGCTCCAACAGTGAGTGTTCCAGGAACAAGCTTGAAACTGCACTGCCATTCATATCTTAGCTTCATAAGCCACACTGTCGTTTCCATCACGCTCACCTGGTTGAAACAGTCACAATCACAAGACTAGCTATATTCAAGGGGAGGGAACAAAGACCCCCATCTCTCGCTAGGAGTAGTGTCAAATAATTTTTGGCCATGGTTTAAAACTGCCTGAGTTCCAGACAAGAAAACTATTAATTGGAGTTCAATGTAAAGAACAATTTAATCCTCTGAGCATGGACCCAGGGCTGGAGAACAAACAGAAACAACAAAAGGTTTCCAAGTCCAGGGAGTAAGAGGTTAACTTGGATGTTTCATGACTTGGCTGGCTTGGGCTGGAAAAGCATGAGTTTCTTGGGTAGTAGGGATGGATAAGAAGAGACTGAATGTGGAAGCTTGGCAAGGAAATTGGAGAGTAGAGAATAAAGAAAACAAAATCACTCATAATCCAACTCCCCAGAAGCAACCAGTTTTTACATTCTGATGTGTTTTAGTGTTGTCTGCATATATGTATATTTATGATTTATGCTGCATGTATGTGTATATAAACAAAAAGCATCATGCATGTGAAGCAACATTGCAATCATACCACGTAATAAATTTTATGTCCTATCTTTCAACTCAAGAATTGGCTTACTTCTCATTAGCATCCCACTCTGAAGAGATTTACATTTCAGTTCTGTTCACTTCTGCTAAATCAGCTAAGTTAGTCCTGACAGAGTTCCTCTTTGCCTAAGTTTCTCTGTCCATTGCCAACAACCTGCCACTGAGTCTTTGTTGCTATTGCTTTTTAAGTTTTTGCCAATATGAAAAGGACTTTCCAATCAAGAAAGGAACAAAGTCATTAATTACTCCTGTCCATAAACCTAAGGGGCCAAAGCCTCTAATATACTAAATAACAAAGTTTCTTCTGCACTATAAAGCAGACTCTGCCATGCACCATGCACCATTCCTGGTGCAGCAGCAACAGCAGCAGCAAAGATTACAAACACACAAAAACAGAACTGCTACTGCAACCATTGCTCATCCCTTCCAGAAACATTGAGAAGGCTCCAGGTTACATATTTGGCCACCTAAGGTCTTACCTGGTTTTGTCTTTGTAACAAATGCCTAAAAACAATATAATTGACTCCCATTCCCTCAACTGGTACCTTCATTTACCAGCAACCACTTTTTATGAGCTAGAAAAGAGGCCAATTAACAGCTCCCAAGCTTGCTGTGCTGACTTCGGAGACAATTACTTCATCCCTCACTTGAGGTTCTGAAAGCAGGAACTACAGAACAACTTGGTGAGGAGAAAAATTATTCCCAGATTTTTATAAGAGGACAAAACTTTAGCCAGGAGTTAAATGTCTGTTGCTGAAAGGCTTAGAAGAGCATAAGAAGAGGGAGTCAAGCTGAATATAGAACATATTGCATTTTTAAACAAAAATGTCTTTCTTTTTTCCTTATGGCCAATGGATATTTTCAAATAACTAGTGTCTGCTTTAAAGTAGCTATCATGACTGGGAACACAATAATTCTAATTCTAATGATGCTATTCTTATCCATGCTCTTTTTCTTTTTCTTTAACTTTTTAAATTATTATTATACCTTAAGTTCTGGGATACACGTGCAGAATGTGCAGGTTTGTTACATAGGTATACACGTGCCATGGTGGTTTGCTGCATCCATCAACCCGTCAACTACATTAGGCATTTCTCCTAATGCTATCCCTCCCCTACTCCCTCCACACCCCGACAGGCCCTATATCCACACTCTTTTAAAAACGTATCATTTGAAGTTATCTTTATAGAAACCATCATATTATTTTGCTTACACTCAATGGCATTTATTCAATATTTATTTAGTCCCTACTTCTTGTTAGTTATTGTTATAGGCAGTGAGGATATAAGGTAAACATAACTTGCAATATTTCCAGCTTTTCAGAACTTATAAACAAGAAAACAAATTATATTTCTTTTTTTATATATAAGTTACTGAGGTAGAGGTGGTATTTGGTCACATAAGTTCTTAGTGGTGATTTGTGAGATTCTGGTGCACCCATCACCCAAACAGTATATGCTGCGCCATATTTGTAGCCTGTTATCCCCTGCCCCCTCCCACTTTTCCCCTAAGTCCCCAAAGTCCATTGTATCATTCTTATGCCTTCACATCCTTACAGCTTAGCTCCCACAGATCAGTGAGAATATATGATATTTGGCTTTCCATTCCTGAGTTACATCACTTAGAATACTAGGTTCCAGTCTCATCCAGGTCACTGCAGATGCTGTTAATTCATTCCTTTTTATGGTATATAGTATTCCATCATGTATATATACCACAGTTTCTTTATGCACTCATTGATTTATGGGTGTTTGGGTTGGTTCCACAATTTTGCAGTTGTGAATTGTGCTGCTATAAACACGTGTGTGCAAGTATCTTTTTTGAATAATGACTTATTTTCCTCTGGGTACTCAGTAGTGGGATTGCTGGATCAAACGAATTAGTCAGGAAAAAAAAAAAAAAAAANAAAAAAAAAAAAACAGTCCCATCAAAAAGTGGGCTAAGGACATGAATAGATAATTCTCAAAAGAAGATACACAAATGGCCAATAAACATGAAAAAAATCACTAATAATCAGGGAAATGCCAATCAAAACCACCATGTGATACCACCTTACTCCTACAAGAATGGCCATAATAATAAAAAAAAAAAAATTTAGGTAGATATCGGTGTGGATGCGGTGAACAGGGAACACTTCACCGCTGCTAGAAATGTAAACTAGTACAGCCACTATGGAAAACAGTGTGGAAATTCCTTAAAGAACTAAAAGTACAACAAATTATATTTCTGATGGTGTTAAGTGCTAAAAGAGCATGACATAAGGGACTGGATGGGTCTGGTCATGTTTTTCTGAGGTGGTGACATGAAGAAAAGGAGTAAGCTACCTTGAGACATAAGAATGATTTAAGACCCTTTTGGGAAACAAAGCTTTGTGAGTAAATGAAAAGCCACTGGTGGTTTTCAGAAAAGAGTAACTTAATCTGGTAAAGATGGTTTTAACATAAATGAGTGAATATGGTGAGTGCTTCAACCGAAGCATAGAGTTAATGAGACAAATTCAGTTTCATAGTTTGCGGAATAGGGAGTCATTTTTAAAAGATGATTTCCAAAACTGTGTTAACATTAGATACCTTAAGAGATTATGCTCACCAGGCTCTCACCACAACTAAGTCCTGACAAAGAATAAATATTTTGTTAAACACACACACACACACACACACACACACACACACACACACACACACACACACTAGGGAAGTTGGGTTTGCAAACAATTTAGTGTATCTAAAAACTGAACAAATGAGTTATCTGTAGTCAGAAAACGTGGCTACTCACATTGCTTTTCTTTTCTTTCCAGGAGGGTTAAATATGATGTTTGCTTTTTTTAAAAAAATTCTTCACAAAAACTTCAATGGCAAATAGAGTCTACAATTTGTCCAAATGATCACATTCAAACTTAAAGGGGCCCAAGGTAAGGTAGTCACCCAAACTCTAAAATTAGAAATGGGTCATGGTTCACTAGGGGAACTCTTGCTAACATAGATATGGAAACATGATATTCATGCACATTTTTTCCCATTTCATTTACTTAACCACTCAGACTTTGGGTATCTTCCCGTAAGTTTGTCTGTGACTCAGTTTTAGTTTCAGATGACTTAATGCTTCCATCTAATCAAGGGAGGGTAACATGATTATTTAACATATCCATGATCCCCAGTTAGGATGCCAGGAAGCTCTAAGAGGGCTAATCTTGTGGCTTGGCATTTTCATCTTTTCTTTTTACTTAAAAAGAAATCATTGCTTACATGTGGCCTGCTAACCAACATTTCCTTCATCCCTTGAGGATATTTCTGGGTCCATTTGCCTTGATAGCTTATAAAAGACTATCCAAGAGCCTAAGTTACCTTGTATAGAGCAAAACTAGACCAGTTCTTACACTTCCTTCTTTGTTTTACCTAGTAAAAATGGTAATGTTTGCAAGGACCAGCCTCATCCACATATATGATCTCATTTTAGTTCTCACAATCACACTGTTATCAAAACAATTTAGGCACTATGGCTTTAATTTTACAGATGCAGAAGTGAAGGAGCACAGAGCTTTGTGTCTGGCCTAAGGTCACTTAGTAAGGCTGGTTGCTGGACTTAAGCCAATGTCTGGGCCCCACAAAATTTAGTACACTCTAACTAATACATCACAATGTTTCTATAGAATACATCCAAAACTTACAATACATGCTTTCCTACCCCCAAATGAGTATTAGACACTTACAGTTTAAGTGTTTGTTGTGCTCTTATATTTGTTATCTATTGTCACAATTTGTGTGGTTGATGGAAAATTCCAGAAAATGAAGTGTAAAAGTTGGCAGACATAATAGTCCTTTATCTCTCTAGACCATTACGGAAACATACTCTTTGGTTTATATTTGAAAATGGCACTGAAACAGCATTCAGGACATAAATTTACTGCAATTTCCCTATCCTCTAAAGCTTACATTTCCACATCAATAAAAGTGGGATGATACATGGAAAGGGGTCCCGATAGTTCTGTGCACACATCAGCTAGCTTATATGTGCATTTTCTTGATTTACAACCTTTTTTGTGTGGTTCAGGGAAAAAAAAATAGTAAAAACTGTAATAGGTTGAATTGTTCAAAAGGAGGAAGGTGTAAGGGTGGGGATGGAAGTACTATGAGTGGACTTGGGAGTTGCTTACTTATTGAGTTATGAGTGAGGGAATACAGCAAGAAACTAAGCCAGTTGTTATAAAGCTTAGGACCATTGAGGAAGGGAGATGAATGAAGACTTCTAGGAGGTATTACTGCGCATTACCAAGGTGATTCGTCTTTGCTTTCTCCTCAATGTTCGGTCTCCTTAACAATCCTGTATATACAGAGAAAATCTACATTGCTCTTTAGTGATTTTTAGAGTACGCTGTGTTTTGTTTGTAGAGTTGCCAGATTCGACAAATAAAAATACTGGGAAACACAAGAAGTGCCCCTGCAATTAAATCTGATTGCATTCAAGGACATTCAGATAAGCAATGAATGAATTTTTTGTGTCTTGAATATTGTATGTGACATTCTTTTACTAAAAACTGATGTCTGAAATTCACATTTAGTAGGACCTGTATTTCATCTAGCAACTTGGCTAAAAACACAGATAAAAGCAAGACAGTATTTTATTGGCTCACATGCAAATTGAGGGAAAGTTTCCTGGAGGCTTTCAGGCAGCAACAGCTGTTCCCATACTTGTCTCGACATTAGAATCACCTGGAGAACTCCAGATGCCAGTACAGTGGCTCTGGAATTCTGCCAGACTGTGAGATTTTTCAAAGTATTCCAGGTGACTCACGTATAACAGTGAAGAGCTGGTGACTGATGTCCAGCACTTCTTAACTTGCCCTATACATAACAAACATCCAGGGAATTTTTAAGTATATTATGCCTAGATTCCCTCAATAACAATTAAATCAATGTCTACAGGCAAGACATTACTATTACATTGCTATTACTAAAAAGTTTTCAGGCCGAGCGCGGTAACCCCAGCATATCTAGCTGGGATTTCACGCCTGTAATCCCAGCACTTTTAGAGGCCAAGGCGGGTGGATCACAAGGTCCAGAGATCGAGACCATCCTGGCCAACATGGTGAAACCCTGTCTCTACTAAAATACAAAAATTAGCTGGGCGTGGTGGTGTGTGCCTGTAGTCCCAGCTACTTGGGAGGCTGAGGCAGAGGAATTGCTTGAACCTGGGAGGCAGAGGTTGCAGTGAGCCGAGATCATGCCACTACACTCCAGCCTGGCGCCTGGCAACAGAGACTCTGTCTCAAAAAAAAAAAAAAAAGTTTTCAGTAACTTTTAATGTTTCTTCACTAGAGAGCCCTAAATTATAGCCTAAAAATGGCATCCCATGGCATTTCCAGCTATAGAAATGTCATTTCTGAATAAATCTCAAAAAGTTTATCTTAATTTTTAAATTATGAAATTAATATTTTTCTTATATATTCAAGCAATGCAGAAAAATCTAAGAAAGAATTAAGAGAGATACACAAACGACAAACAAAAGAAGTCTCTCCCACTTCTTTCCCTTATATATTAGAATGTAGAGCAGATGGTCCTTAATACTTCTTCTGATTTTAAAATACACTGATTCTATTCATTAAAATTTATAGATTAGTACTGACAAATTCTTGGATTAAAAAATGAGCATAGTTTAACAAAAAAAGATCCATGACCTAGTGCTGCCCCCTATTGCAGCTTGTTTTATTCAGCTTTCTGACGTGTGGAGTGGAGAGAGGCAGCAAAGCTAGATAAATATTTTGTCACTCTACCTTCTGGTCTCTGACCCTCTCCACTTGTCTATTTCTGTAAAATCAAGAGCTTTTAAAATGGTCTGATCTTTAGCTATGTTTGCTTTTATCTGTTACAATGAAAAAACTTAAAACTCACGTAAATTATGTTTAGTGATTGTTGGCTAAGACAATTTGAGCAACATGTTTTCAAAACTGTTTAAAAAGATTGCTCCTATAATTTCCCAAAATAAATTTGCCTAAGCCTGATCATAGAAGAGCTGGCACAATTTTAAATGAATGTATTCTATTTAGCAACACTACTAGAAATATTAAACCTTTTAAGAGAATCTGGAACTTAATAATTCATCTCAAAGAGAAAAACAAACATTTAGTTGTAAGTTAGGCATAACAAATAGAAGTAAGTTGCAAATTTCAAAATTATATGGTTATATTTATGTTAAGGAATTTTTCTCTGAATATTTCACTGTAAAAATTATACGCAGTTTAAAAAAATAGGTCACTCACATTGCTAGCAACGTTGCAAACTAGATAATCTTAAAATCCTTTTTCCACAGAACATCTAAAGTCTGACTAAAATATAACCAAAACCCACTGAGATGCAAAGTGTAGATTTTGGGAGAGTACAAGATTTTAGCAGAAGTCAAAAATAAAAAATAATTGGAAATTTTCGACTATTAAGCTTAGTCTGACATTTTCTTTGGCTTCTCAAATCAAAGGAGTCACCAATCTTTATTAGCAAGAGGCTTTGATTTTACCCATCACTAGGAGGCTGGAAGTGAGGTCCTGGGCTTAGGCAAGGCTTGGTATTTGAAGAGAGAACCCTCAGTAAAGTGAAAAGTTTCAAAGGGACACATTCCAGTATAAAAAGTGAAATAGAAAAATTGGCAAATAGAAATTAAGAGAAAGCTTGATTATTCTGACCTCTGCTACAGGTAGGGAAAATTTGTTCCCTGAGAATTCATAAACCAGGATTTGTCCACATCATTTAGGGGTTCATATTTGAAATGCATACATGATTTGGGAAACACCAAACTGAAGAAAGAATATAAAAAAGGGTCATCAGCTGGTAACACCACTGAGGCACCAGTAGGAGCAAAGGCAAGCCTCTCTGAAGAGAGCTACCCTCAGACAAGACTTCCTTGGAGTCTCTTAGGTTTCCTGGCCATAGTCCTAATCTGAAAATACATGAAGTAGCATGCCACCTTTCTTCTCTATTTCTGTTTCCCTGTATTTCTGGTTAACTGACAAAGAAATCAAATATTACACAGAGATGAAAGAAAAACAGTGCATAAAAATGTAGAGTGTAGCCTCTGGATGTTTGTAGCAGTACTAGGCTGTTTTGGTTATTACAGCTTTGTAGTATAATTTGAAGTCAGGTAATGTAATGCCTCCAGCTTTGTTCTTTTTGCTTGTCATTGCTTGGAGCAGTCAAATAATGGCTTTGTGGATATACAGCTAGCTGAGTGGCCTTGTGCAAGACACCTAAATCTTCATTTTCTACTTTGTAAAATGGGAACTGTTATAGTAACCTATCTCATAGGGTTATAATAATTAAATGGGTTAATATATAGAAAGTCTTTAGGATTGGAAGAGTAGCTGGCTTATAGGAAGCATTAAATAGAGCTGGCTGGTTTTGATCATCTTCATCATTATCATTATTGTTATTATAGGCAGTTGCATTATACCACCTATCTCATGATTAGGTTGTTTTTTCTCCATATGTGCCCCAGATGCATATCCATCTGTCCTAGAATTAAATCTTTGGGTAAAGCCAGCAATTATATATCCCCAAATTACATGGTTTCACAACTGGCTTCTGTGCTGAGAAGCAGTACAAGTAAGAACAGCAAGAAATTTAATGGGCAACTATTAAGCTAGCTAAGGACAATACATGTTTTTTACAATTTGCAATTTACTTTTTTTGTTTAGATATTATGTGCAAAGGCATTCCCATCGCCCCAGCTCTAGCACCTTCCCCACCCTCATTCCACACACTAGTGAACACTCACCACCAACCTACTCTGGGCCGCTGGGACACAGGATTAGGACAAATGGCCTCATCAGAGTTCTGGTTGGAGATTGGGCAGCTGTACAAATTTCTTGCATTAACTAAGTTCCACCTCTACTCTCCCTTTTCTAGGAGCTTTCGTGTATCTCACCTTTTATTCAACTCTTTGGTTTTCCTTCATTACAAGTATAGCAGGGAAAGAAACTCCTTATAGCACTTCATCTTCTTGTTACGATCACCTCTTGATGAGGTTTGCTCTTCCTCTGAAAAATGAGATTGATGTTTACCTCATTATATAGTTGTGAGAATCCAGTAATACACATTTCCAAACAAAAATACTGTATGTATTTTATGTAATACTTAGCTTTGTGCTACAATTGTTTGTCTACTTGCTTCACCCTTGCTGACAGACTACATGTTCCTTTCCATCTTCTTGAACACCTAACAGAGTATCATACACATATCTGAATTTTTTTCATTTACTCACCAATATTGATTGAGCATCTTTGATATACCATACACTGTCCCGTGCTCATGGTTTACCATAATAAGCAATCGATCCCAGCTTTGCTTGATGAAATAGCAAAATTAACATTTTCAGTTGTACCCACCATCTATTCAGCTTGCAGACGTAGCTATAAAGTGCATCTCACTTACCTCCAGCAGGAACAAGAGGTTTCTCTGGGCATATGACACAATCAGCCTGCCTTAACTGTCTCATTAAATGGGACAAAAACATATTATGCAGCACTTGAGATGGTGCTAATGACATGGCCTTTGAGTGTGCCAACATTCCACTGAGCATGTGTTCATTGTTGTCCTCAAAAATGTGTGTTTTGTTTGTTTAAAAGTCTATCTTGCCCACTAGCCTCTGAGTCCCTGAGAGTAGTAATTATGTATTTTTATCTTTGTATTGCTCTCTGCCTTAAGAAATAGCTCAGTGTCTAAATTTAGTAAATGTTCAGTAAAGTGCTGATGGAATGAAACAGTGGAGAGGATGGAAAAGCTTTATGACTAGTATAGTAAATATTTCAAAAATATATTCTATTACTATATTTTTACTCATTTAGCAGACACTGAGTAAATACCTACCATGTGCTATTATTAGCCATGCTAAGTGTTATCACATAGTATATCAAGCTGCCTCACTTTGGCTACTTTGGAGTATTTCACTCTGCTTTTCTCTGAGATTTACAATTTAAGAGGCCTACAGGAAAATGGGGAGTGCATTCTGTGAAGTTACGGAAAAAGATCCATTTTTAACATTAGCTATTACTAGCCAAATAGCTGAATTTGTTATTAGTTTATTAAATCCAGACTTTTCATGGGTTTCCCAAGCTTGCTTCTTTCAATATATATTAAATCCAACCTTGAACATTGGGGACAAAAAGACTGAAAAGTAGCCAGCTGCTCCAACAGGAACAATATACCATACTCTAGAATCACTCTAATTATTCTATGCCTGCATTTAATTTAATATCTAGTTGGTTAGAAAACCAGGCTATTAAATAAGTCTTGTAACCTGATTTTTGTATTATTTCTGGAAAATCTGGGCATTTAGAAAAAATATTTTAAAATGCATCCTTCACTGACAGTTACAAATTCTAGCAACTTTTCTTAATGGTATGCTGACACTGAAATTACACTTGAAATTTAAATGTATTTTAAGAGGGTTAGAAATAAGCATTCACAAATAACTTGGTCATATAAAAAAGCTAGTTAGTACTAAGGAATACTACAGAAATGACTTTAATAGTATTAAATTTATATTAGAATGCAAGGGCCTTGAATAAACCTAATAATCAATAAAAATTACTTCAGAATCCCTGTGAAAAAAGTATTTGAAGATTCAAAGTTAAAAAATAAAACAGTATTTTACTATTAACCATTGTATATTTATTTAAAAGCCACAAACAATATGAAAAAGCATAAAAGCACAAATTTCAGATAATTTGTTTTTTAATCAACCTGATAGTTTTATACAATAAAATATCATTAAGAAAAATAGAAATTATGTGAATTGTATTAAAACTATGACATTCGATAATATTTTATAAAGAGAAAATTTTAACTCTAAGACACATGAATACCATAAATTTTTTAAAAAGAAGTTTAAAATATCACATCTTATGCTAAATATATATAGACATATTTATTATGATGCAGCAGGTCTTGGAATATAGGAATTTAAGTAAGTGAAAAATAAAAAGTTTATATGGTTCAACTTTTTGAATATTGTTTGTCTGATTTTCTATTTAAATATCAGACATTGTCATAGGAAATATATATGTCATAGGAAATATATACGATTGCAATGGCACTTTCAAATATAAGGCAATTAATGTTTTAGAAAGCAGCAACTTTAAAAAAAAATGCGAGTAGCAGCTTGTAAAAATGAGTATTACATGAAACTCAGCAAAACAACTTTTACCCTGAAAAGATAAATATAATTTAAAAAACGAAGCACCTCTCTTTCATTGAAAAACGAACTGTAGATTAAGGCCCTCATCTCAGAATAACCCTGTCTAAGAACACTTGGGCTTTCTTTATTTAATAAGGAGCACAAGAAGAATACACCCCATTCTACATACTGACTGTGTTGAAAAAATGCAGTCCATGTGCAGGTAGAAAACTAAAGTGTGACAGAAGGAAATTAATCAGAATGTATTCACTTATACACTATATTTTAATTAGTTAACATAAAAATGTATAATTGCTAAGTTATTATTGGTCCTACATATTACTTACTGGCATGCTGTAGATCACAGAGAAACAGAATGTTTGCTGTATTTTTATCATTACTCTGTGTAGATACATATTTATCTATCATGTAAATAAAAAGAAGCAATGCAGTATTAGCTGCGCTGGCATTTGTAGCTTTCACTTTTTATTTTATAAAGCATTAAGTGCTACATAAAATGTCACACTTCCAAATTTAAAAATGTAACTCCAATTCTTCCCATTAGAACAGCACGGTGATCACCAAAGATCTTCTTGAAAAACAACGAAAACAAAAAGAAAGATCTCTTCTGTATCACATCAAATGAGATACAAAGGTGTACTAGGCAATCTTAGAGATTTGGCAACATATTTTACATATAAGGCATCTGTGGCCAAGAGAGGTTATGAATTAAACGTACAAATATATTATGTATAAATGTATTAAATACAAGCTTCATATAATGACACCAATGTCTCTAAGTTGCTCAGCATTCTTGATTGGCTGTGACCCTGGTCAGCTCCTTTCCTGATAATCTGATTCTGCCTTCATATATAGGCAGCTCCTGATCATCCATGCCAGTGAATGAGAAATCAGGCATGGAATATATAAACCTTAACATTAAAAAAAATACATGTTTTATTTTGTAATAAAATCGAATTTCCCATTGAAACCTTCAAAAATTTTGCAGAATGAGGTTTTGATACACATGTACAAGTAGTACCTTCTGAGCACAAGAAAACATAATTATTTGTCTGTCTGCCTTTTTGTTTTTAACGATGAAGACTAACATTCTTTTCACATGGAAACAAGTTTGTCTTCAGTATGAGTACATGTTGGTGGAGCAGAAAGGTAGGAAAGGGTTAGAGATTTCTATCCTAGCAACGTTATTTTATCCTAAAACGTTATTTTATCCCAGCAACGTTTGCTCTAAAAAGCCTTATTATTTCACTGCCTATTGATATGAGAACTCTGGGATTCATTTTCCCTTATCTCATGTCTATAGTGTTTTAAGTTTACTTTATAGATGTTTACTGGGTTAATGAGTCATAGCTTTTCAGGATGAACTCCTATTCTACCCGAGAGATATTCAATTGAAACACACTTTCAGATTGTGTTCTTGCAAGCATACTCTCAGCTGTCAAAGTGAACACCCAGTAAAGTACTCTGCAAAGCAAAGAAATACACTTGCAAATAATTGAGTGTTGACTATAAGCCCAACCCAACTTTTCGATTTTTCAAAATTAACCATAGTTGATGGCTTGCTGTGTTTCTCTATCTTGAAGGTTGTGGTGGAGATCTTTCAAAATACATGAAGTCCTGAAATTGGAAAAAAAATTATATGTAGATTATAGATTATTAGGTATAATGCATGTAGTATTATCCTTTGTAATTTATTAAGCAATTCCCTGATTCCAGTTAAAATAAATAAATCTAGGGAAATATTTATGAAGAGGACCTATTGTGAAGAGCAGCAGTAACAAATTTGGAATTGTTAGTTTTCCATTTTAAGTACCAAGTAACTGAATTTCAACATTAAAAAAGAGGAAAAACTTCATAATTTGAAAGATTGGACAACCCCAAGGAGCACACTGACAGGCAGAAAGGAAGGAGGGAAAGGACATCTACTTTAGAATTAGTTCATTAAGAAATCATAGGCTAGGCATTTTTAAGTAGTGAGAGTGACAATATGCAATGATGACAGTTATACCCATTGGATACCTAATGTCATCTAAGCACTCTCCTGGTCATTTTACCTATGATAGCTAATATTCATAACCTGGAAAAATATAAGTATTTTTATCTCCATTTTACAGATGAGGAAACAGGCTAACAAGTGTTAAACACTTTATAAAACGTAAAACTAGTAAGTGGCACAGAGATGAGTTGGCTTAGTTTCAGGGCTTATTCTTTTACTACACTATACTGCTTCTCCACAGAAAGAACAATTCTCTCAGGATAACTCAAAACTAAGAGGCTTACAATGAGGAAGCAAGCACCAAAAATCATGGCTTTCATCTTCACATCCAGGTCTAATGGGAAGTGAATGTCAAAATGGTCAGCATCTGCCATTGCTGACAGCAAGCCATTCCACTTCCGGATAATACTGCCGATGTTGGATACACCATCAAGGGATTTGACCTGGAATGACAAGAATGTGCCTTTATGATGATGGAAATGCACTGAAGCACATGTTTTAGTGTTCTGCTTATCAGTTTACACTGAGATAGCATAAATACAATGCAGAAAAAGACTATGGTAATTATCCAATTTGAAATGAGAAAACAATGGCAAAAAAGGGTTAGGCGCCTTGCAACTGGTTAATAACTGAGCAGGGTTTATCTTAAAATTCTCAGTTTACTGCTCTTTCTTCATCTTTGAATTAGTTATTAAGGGACCTCTTAAGAGGAAGTATGATTTAAACTGATTATGAAATTCATCTCAATACAGCAAAGGGTGGGAATTGGGAGAGAATCACCTCCAGTCTAGGGAAACCTATGAGCAAATCCCAGGAAACAAATACTGTGCACTTCACATCACTTAAGTTTTTGTGAAGCAAATCTACCTTGTCTTCTTAATATATGGCCAGATACCAAAGAACTTCAGTTTCTAAAAGGGGAAAGCTGGCACTTGCCACAGGGAAAATAGCCAAATACTAACTTCTAATGTCACTTGGCAATGGGAATGATCACACACACACTGCCCTAGCAATTTGGCTTATCTACATTGGACTTTTAATAAATAAGCAATGCCTAATGATATAGTGATATAAAATAAGAACTAAGGAAAGTTTCTTGAGTATCATAGGAAACATATGAACAAGAAGTTTTAAAGATGAGTCTTGCCTAATTGCAAGGCATTCAAAAAATATTCTTTAGGAAGCCTGGGAAATATTTCTAGGAATTTCCTTTGTCAGACTTGCAGAGTAAATGAACAAACATTTTGTAGCCAGTGAGACAAAGTCAAAACAAAATAATTTTTCTTTTCATTGAAAAACTGTTATAACTATTATAAGTTTTATCCATGGTATTAGTGTTATCCTATTTCTTGAGGATGCTGGCAAACTTGTATTCTGCAAATAACTATTTTCATAGCCTTAGGAGTACTTGATATGTTCTGTGATATGTTGGGCACTTGCATTACTTACAGCCTATATTCCTAGCCTAGAAGTCTATGGAAAAAAAAAAAAAAAAGAAATTTGTGAAAAAAAAAAAAAAAAAGGTTAATTACATATAGCCAACAATGGAATAAATGAATTAGGTCAAGCTATTTACTCTCAGAACGTTTAATGTTTTAAAGATTTCTTTTTATTTTTATCAAGCACTGAAATCATAAAAAAGGTCTCACTTTGGAAAACTCAAACAATCCTCTAACAATAATTTTAAAATCTTTTGATGTCAACTGGTTAATTAATTCTTTCCTCACACTACATTATTCACTCACATGAAAAAAAAATCATCTACAACCAGATCTTTCCATGGCCTGTTAGGTATGAGTAGGAAAAATATCAGAAACCTTATTTTTAAATAGTTTTACCTCAAAAACAGAATCGGAACCACAGCCATAGGTTGAGCATGGCCCACGCACTCTCATCATATTTTCTTTCTTCTCATTTTGGATGCTGTACACTGCCCTGCACAGGTTCCAGTGTTCTGCAACAAAGCCAAGGGTGACACCAGGAGGACACTGCACCTCCAGCTGCAAATAAAACAGTGACAGAAGTTAGGATGCTGCATGCATACATACACACATACATAACCTAGATGTGTCCTTGCTCATTCAAAGAGCTGGGAAATTATGTTGGGAGTGATAGCCTTCCATTTTACCCAGGCCATTCTTCGGGTTACGTATATTTCAGTGAGAAGCTTTAAGGGATGAGATCATGTTTCCCTCTGAGACAAACGGCAGACTTCATGATGGCTTGTTATATAATGGCCAGTTGTCCAAGCTTAGTGTTCGTAAGCTGCATAAACAGCCTTGCCTCAGAACTTGGAGATGAGGGGAACCTACACACGTATGCTGCCTGCTGTGCTGTCAAAGGTCCTCTGTCTCCTTCCTCGGAGTCTCATTTCTTCTGATTCAATCTATGAAACAGTAACAAGCTGACTTTTTAGATTTGAAGTTGGGTAAAATCAAATCTCTGACATAACAAGTATAACAGAAAACAAAAGAGAAAAGGGGCATTTTGAAAATTGTATATTGTGAAAGAAACAAAATGTGTGTATGGGTTTATAAAGCCACTTTTTTAAAGTTTTAAAATATTGTCCACTATTCTGTTTTTAGCTATTTATCTTCAACAACATTATTTTGTGAAGAATTAAGATCTTCCTATTTAATAATAATGAGTCATAAAGATTAAATTATTTGGTAAGAGCCCAAAGTGAAAGTTCTATTGACTATTTCTCTGATGTTACATGTACTTTCATTAGAATTTGGGGAAAGGATTACCCAGGACATGGAACAGGACTACGCAGCTTCATAAATTGTTAAATTAAGGTACTATTGTTCATATGCATAAATTCACACCTATATAAAAATATACAAATTTGAGAGTATTATAGAACTATCTCATATAAGTTTAAACCCATGAGATAAAAATCAAAATGTATAAAAATAAATTCCTTAAAAATTTCATACCATAGTATACTAGTGAGCCATAAAAAGAAATGAACTAGCGATATATGTAAAAACTTATATGAATCTCCAGGTAATTACCATGGGTGAAAAAGACCAATCCTGAAAAGTTATATATGATTCTGTTTAAATAACATTCTTGAAATGACAAGATTGTAAAAATAGAGAACAGATTAGTGATTACTGGGGGTTAAGGATAAAGAGGAGGGAGGAAGTCAGATGTGATAATAAAGGAGGATTTTTGTGATGATAGAACTGTTTGGTATTTGTATTGTGCGGATGGAAATATGAATCTATACAAAGTATAAAACTGCATAAACTGAATGTGTACACACACACACACACACACACAAATTAATACAAGTAAAACTGGAGAAATCTGAAGAAAAAAACTGACTAAAGTTATGAGACAAAAGTGTCATAAATTAGACTAGGCTTGCAATTTTTTTTAGGACTAAAGTTCTTGCTCTGTCACCCAGGCTGAAGTGCAGTGGTGCAATCATAGGTCACTGCAGCCACGACATCCTTAGGTAAATGATCCTCCCACCTTAGTCACCCAAGCAGCTGGGACCACAGACACACATCACCAGGACTGGCTATTTTTTTCTTAATTTCTTTTTCTGTAGAGACGCTATGTTGCCCAACCTCCTAGCTCAAGTGATCCTCCCACCTTAGCCTCTCAAAGTGTTGGAATTATAGGTGTAAACCACCCTGTCCAGCTGTAATTTTGATTTGGTTTACTTTATTCTGGCTTCCTATAATTTCAGAAGGCTGTATTTTTAGGTTTTGATTTAAAAAAACTAATTCACAAATATGAAGATAAATGCCTACTATATCCAGAAGGATCAAGGATAATAAGTAGATATTCACTTCAGATATAAGGCTGTTATCACAGACAATAATAACAAAGAGGTAAGATATCTGGGAACAACAGAAAATATTCATTGAGTACTATATTATTTGCTAGGAAATGTGCGAAGAATTGACTTAATCCTTAAAATGATCATCCTATCTGATAGGTATTATTAATGTTTCCATTTTAGAGGTAAATAAGGCCCAGAGAGTGTTGTAAAAATTAATATTTAGTAAAGATGTTATTTAAAAGATCATTTAAGTATTCCAGTAATCTGATGATGTATTGTACTACCCAGTTGATGTAGAAGAACACTAAGGCTCAAACAGGTTAATTAAATTGTACAGATTTAAGTAGGTGGCATATATAGAATTCAGACTCTGGTTGGTTTCTCTCTAAAACCAATTTTCTTTTCCCTACAGCAGATAACTTTCTTAGAACTGCACAGATAATGAGTAACCACACTGTAACTCAGCACATCTGCATTCTAGTTCCAGCCCTGTCCGTAGTCATTTTGAGCCACTCTTTATCTGTAACAATGTATGGGTTATGATGGGTACCCTAAAGGTATTAACTCTCTTCCAATTCTATAAGTATGTGTTTATATTTAGCATTAATTTATCTGATGATATGTTGGTAGAGTTAGATAAATGTGGTAGGTAAATTTCTAATTAAGCAGACACAACTAATGGAATCATAATTATTGACTATACAACCCCAGTTGTGCCTGATCCACTTATGTAAGCACTAAAAAGCAGTAACCAAAAAGAAAAGATCCTCTATGATTTTCTTTAGGTGAGGTATTATGGTTTCCTCCCTTCCCACTATCTTCTTCCATTCTGGCTGGCATGGCCAGGGAAAATGCCTCCTGTGTAGTTCTAGAAGGACCACACTGTGCCGTGAAGAGTAGGATTGAAGCAAACTGTGGATAAGATTTCCATTCTCTGACCTCTTGTCTGGCAGATGGGCAACAGAAGCAACAGCAGGTACATCTGAAGGGTCTCTGCATTGTCATGATTTCTCGGCCCATACAATCAGTGACCCGGAGGACGAAGGGCCTTAGTGTCCGATAGGCATTCCTGGTAAAGTCATCTGTGTCTTCAGTTACAATGTAAACCATCTGGTCTGAGTTGTTTTTAATATCATATCTATTATTAGTTTCAAAATGTGTCATCACTAAAAAATAAAATGAGAAAGTCATCTTAAATTAGAAATACTTAAAACGGGCCTCAGAAAGTCCTTGTTCAGGATTTCCTAAGGGCTTAAAGCAAAACAGCTTTCTTAAAGTTTCAGGTGAAATATGTAGAATTGATTAGAGTACCCCAAAAATCATATTATCTAAAAGTATTTAAGCAACTGTGAAAATTTTAAACATTTCTTTTAAGAAGTTCAGTGTAAACGTTAAAAAAATTTTCTACATAAAAGCAAAGATGAAACAATCCTGTTGTTTCAATTCCTGGAGTATCTGAATTCAGAAAACTTAAATTATAAAACCATTAAAAAGAAATTATACATTTGACCATTAATTGATCAGTTCATGAAACATACTGGGAGGAGTAGGATCATTACTTATTAAAAACAAGAAACAAACCAAGAAAAGTCAAAGGCCTATGTGGTGGCCAAATGAATGTGCACAGTTGGTTTAATGAGGTTCAGTAATCTTGAAGGATGAGCTGAGAAGAGGCATCATTTTGATTGTGATCTTTTCTACTTACTTCCAAAGCAAGGGTGCTGGACTACGATTCAGCAGATTTGGATTCTATTTCCAGCTCTGCCACTGATTAGCTGACTGTGGTTTACATTCTATTTCCAGCTCTGGCAGTGATTAGCTGACTGTGGTGTCCCTGGCTAACTCATTTAGTCTCTTCACTCATCTTTGAAAGGTAAATGTGGAGTAGGAACAATGGGTAAAGTGGATGCTATCAACCAGATAAAATGTGAGCCCTTTTCAAATATAAGAGTTTAGGATTATATGATGTATAGAAGGACAAATTATACAAAATAATTCACTTTATTACTTTCTTGAAAATAGGCTAATAGAGCAGTTTTTTTTTCTTTGAACTATTAAAAAATGATTAATATAAAGAAAGAACTAGATACTGGATAATGCAAATTTCCATCTGATTAAAATACTGCTGAGGACTACAAAAATTGTACATACTTTCCAGAGGCTCAAAATGCTGAAGAACATGTATGTTGTCCAACTGTTGGGATAAAACAAAGCAATTAGAAGACAGAAATAACAGAGTTAAAATACCATTGGAAAAGAAACTGATGAAATAGATATTAAAATATATCATTTAATACCAGGATATATTTTTAAGTCAATAGAATAAAAAAAATTACCAACTGAAATTAGCTTATCTGCCTCTGATCAGATGGATATTAGTGGAGCTGTCCATATTAGAAAAACACCTTTTCAATACCACTTTAAAAAAGTTGTCTGCTATATCAGAAAACAATATCATCTACTTGCTATAGTAATCACATCAGAAGAAGCTGTGTTTATAGATTGTGTTTATAGATCAGTTCCTACTCACTGGTCTCTTTACATGTCATTCATATTCTGGAGTTGTTTAGAAGTTCAGAACGATTAACATGGACCAGCCATAGAGAAGGGAAGTCTCTCTTAGTGGCTTACAAAGAACAAACAAGCCAGGGTGAGCCTCACATGGAGTATCCCATTTTATGTTATTTTACAGGTACCTCTAGCAGAGGTTTATACACTCACATTCACTTGATCTACAAATGCCAGGCCCTTCCCCAAGTGCACACTTTCATAAGGGAAGGGTCTAATCCTATGTGAATAGGATTAGGGGAAGAGAAAGGAATCATTCTTATATGGCAATCCATGAAAAGGATGGCTGGTATACCATCTGAGAAATTTGTATCTTAGAAATCATTCTAAAGATCAGCAGTTTGATGGGCACATTATCTGTTACATGTGAGAACATTCTAGCAGAAGATAAGAAATCTTCTTGAGGACACACTGATCATATATGTATCGTTTTACATCATTTCGACCATTAGACAATTCCTAATTCCTAGGTCCAGAACACTGCCTGAAGTGCCATATTTTACCAAACATTAGTTAAATACATTAATTAATGAAAAATATACAAATGCAGTAATAACATGAAATTAAAATAACATAACTAAACATGAATGTTTTATGGTGTGATTAATTACAGGAGGGTACAAAGGGCATAATCAATGCTCAGTAAAGAACTTTTTCTTGTATAAAAACACAATTACATAAGGAGACCTAACCATGCCTCATAAAATACCCAAAGTATCTACTAAAATGGTTTGTAGTCCATTTTAGAAATCTAGGGTATGAAACTCTAGAAGTGAAGAGTAAAAATATTAACTACAGGCATACTCCAGAAATAATACAAGTCAGGTTCCAGACCAATGCAATAAAGCAAATATTGCAAGAAAGTGAATCACATGAATGTTTTATTTTCTTACTGAACATAAAATTATGTTTACACTAACTACACTATACAGAGTATAAGAGTATAACTATACTATATAGTGGGTAAGAGTATTAAGTCCAAAACAAGTACATATCTTAATTTAAAAAAACTCTATTGCTAAAAACTTCTAACAATCATCTGATATTTCAGCTAGTCATAATCCTCTTGCTGGTGGAGGGTCTTGTCTCCATGTTAATGACTGCTAACTCATCAGGGTTGTGATCGCTGAAGCTTGGGGTGGCTGTAGCAATTTCTTAACAAAAGATGATGAAATCTGACATCTGAACTGACTGACTCTTCTCTGCATGAGAGATTTCCCTGTAGCACGCGATGTTCTTTAATAATATTTTACCACAGTAGAACTTCTTTCAAAATTGGAGTCAGTCCTCCTAAAACCTGCCACTGCTTTATCAACTATATTTATGTAGTATTCGAAACCCTTTGTCATTTCAACAATGTTCACAGTATTCTTACCAGGAGTAAATTCCATCTCAAGGAAGCACTTGCTTTGCTTATCCATAAGAAGCAACTGCTCATGTGTTAAAGTTTTATCATCAGTTGCAGCAATTCAGTCACATCTGCAGGTTCCACTTCAAATTCTTGTTCTCTTGCTGTTTCCATCACATCTGAAATCTACTTCCTCCACTGAAATCTTGAACCCTTCAAACTCACCCACAAAAGCTGCAACCAACTTCTCCCAAATACCTGTTAATGCTCATATTTTGTCCTCTTCCTGTGAATCACGAATGGTGATTCATTCATGATGGATGGCATCTAGAATGGTGAATCCTTTCCACATGGCATCTTATTGAATGGCATCTAGAATGGTGAATCCTTTCCACATGGTTTTCAATTTATTTTGCCCAGATCCATCTGAGAAATCACTCTATCTATAGAAACTATAGCCTAACAAAATTCATTTTTTAAACAATAAGACTTGTAAATCGAAATTACATTTTGACCCATGGGCTGCAGAACAGATGTTGTGTTAGTAGGCATTAAAACAACATTAATCTCCTTGTGCATCTTCATCAGAGCTCTTGAGTGACCAGATGCATTGTCAGTGAGTAGTAATGTTTTTCAAGACACCCTAACAAGGGAGTTAGTCTGTCCTTTGAAGTTTTGACAGCAGGCATTGACTTCTCCTTTTTATCTAAGAAAGTCCTAGATGGCATCTTCTACAGAAGGCTCTTTCATCTATATTAAATATCTGTTGTTTAGTATAGTAACCTTCATCAATGATCTTATTATAGCTAGATCTTCTGAAAAACTTACTGCAGCTTCTACATCAGGACTTGCTGCTTTACCTTGCACTTTTATGTTACAAAAGGGCCTTTTTTCCCTTAAATCTTGTGAGCCAACCTCTGCTAGCTTCAAACTTTTTTTTCTGCAGCTTCTGCACCTCAGCCTTCACGGAATTTAAGAGAGGGCTTTGCTCTGAATTATGCTTTGGCTTAAGGAAATGTTGTGACTGATTTAAATAATCTTCTACCTAGACCACTAAAACTTTCTCCATATCAGCAATTAGGCTATTTTACTTTTCCCCATTCATATGTTCATTAGAGTAATATCACTTTCAATTTCCTTCACAAACTTTTCCATTGCATTCACAGCTTGGCTGACTGGTGCAAGAAGACTAGTTTTTGGCCTATTTCAACTTTCAACATGCCTTCCTCATTAAGCTAAATCATTTCCAGCTTTTTTAATTTACAGTGAGAGATGTGCAATTGTTTCTTTCACTTGAACACTCAGAGGCCATCACAGGGTTATTAACTGGCCTAATTTCAATATTATTGTGTCCTCCCTGGAACTCAATAATATATGTCTGTTAAGGGGCAGTTATTTGACAAATTGGTAAAGTCACTGGTGAAGCCAAGACTCTGGAAATAATATAATTTGCTAATTTGGATGTTTTAGGACTCTTGGTAATCTTTTTTGTTTGTTTGTTTGTTTGTTTGTTTGTTTCTGAGACAGTCTTTTTTTGTCACCCAGACTGGAGTGCAGTGGTGCAATCTCAGCTCACTGCAACCTCCACCTCCCGGGTTCAAGCGATTCTCCTGCCTCAGCCTCCCAAGTAGTTGGGACTACAGGCATGTACCACTGCACCCGGCTAATTTTTGTATTTTTAGTAGAGACTGGGTTTCACTGTGTCAGCTAGGATGGTCTCGATCTCCTGACCTCGTGATCCGCCTGCCTTGGCCTCTCAAAGTCCTGAGATTACAGGTGTCAGCCACCATGTCTTCACCTGGCCTACTCTTGGTAATCTTGATAAAGATTCATGTAATCTTTATGTGAGATCTCAAAAAGACTAGGGTAGATAGAGGAAAACGATTAGCTCTATGACTTGCATTCACACATAAGAAGGTATTTAAGCTAATAACACCACATAGCTTTTATCCACTGGGACTGCCCTACATGTCAAAAACATTAGGCACATTGTGAGCCTTATCTCATTAAAAATTCTCCTAACAACTCGATAAGGTAAGCAGTGATAGTACTATTTTACAGATGATAAAATTCAAGCACCAAGAGTTTAGAAGAGTTTATCAAGGATTTAGAGTTACTAGAGAGTAAGATAGAATTAAACAGCAGGTTTGTCTGGGTCCAAAGCTGTGTTTTGTTTAGTTTTTCACTTATTTCTTTAACTCTAAACATTCCTAAAAGGGAAAATTCATAAAATATGTCAAATTAACTTCTGTCAGCGTCATAAAAGAAATTGAGAACAGGTTTTTAATATTTAAATAAAGAAAGCTATACAATTTGAAAAGAGAATTGACTGTAGGGGGTGTTAGATTCCCAAAAACAACTTCTATATTTACCACCAAGTATAGAAATAAGATTTTTCTAAACTTGATAAGCTACAAACATTTTATCATCTTCTGAAGTAATGTAGATGTTTACTTTAGCACTTCACCTGCTTTGCATTTTGTCAATATTTTGTCCAAATAATAATTTAGGATGAATTTTGGCTTTGATAAGATCCACATTTTCCTGATCAACTGTATTGACTTTTATGCACCAAACAATATTATACAAATACTTTTCAGCACACAAGATTATCAGGGTCCCTGTCAATATACAGAATTGAAAAGAGAAACAATATAAATCCAGGAAATACTTGGCTATCGACCTGGGGAGATAAGTATTGAATGGGGTAGTTTCTTCTTTATACTGCATTTCAACACTTCCTTTTTCTAAAAACAAAACAAAACAAAAGATTCAGAAGGTTCTATGGTATCTCCAATAAAGTAGTCTCCTTCTTATCGTCAGGGAATACTTTTCAAACCCCCAGTGGATACCTGAAACCACAGATTGTACCAAACCCTGCATATACTATGTGCATATTTTTCTTTCTTTCTTTCTTCACAATTTTATGGAGAGAAGATTAATTTTACTGTAGATCTTAGTAATCTTACCATAGGAATTAAATTATTACTATTAAGTCAAAAACCTTCACCTTTTCATGAAAAGGAAGGCCTTATGGCCACTCTTTGGTCTTTCCTTGACATATCCAAATTGCCAGCATGACTACTCTTGTGCTTTGAAGACATAATTAAGTAAAATAAGAGTTTCTTCAGTGCAAGCACTGTGATACTGTAAGAGTCACTCTGATAACCAAGATGGCTACTATGTGACTCTGGGTCTGTGTACTATCCGTAACATGTACAGTGTGGATACACTGGACAAAGGAATGATACATGTCCCAGACAGAACAGAGCAGGACTATGAAAATCTTCATCATGCTACTCAGAATAAATTTAAAGTTTATGAATGTTTTATTTCTGGAATTTTCCATTGAATGTTTTTGGACCCTGGTTGACCATAGGTAACTGAAACCATAGGAATCAAGGCCACAATAAAACGTGACTACTCTGCTAGCTTTATCTTATTCTCATTACATAGGTTTTTGAGTTTCAGACATGAGTTTTCAAACAAAACTATTTGTATAAAAATTTCACATATTAACCTAGTTTTTGATCATGACGTCCTGGTGGTTGCATAATATCTATACAGATGTTATTTAGGGAATAATTGTGTTGTAATAAGGGGGTTTCTGGAACTTAAACTGAAGCAATATTCTCGGTGGGGTCCCTTATTTTTATTTACATTGTATGTTTTTGGGGGTGGCTAGAGTAACTAATGAAAATGATGGGTGGTGGTAAAAAGCAACAGGCTAAGGCACTCAGTAACTTACCCACTGTGTTGTGTTTTTTTCTCTTTTGTGCTGCTTTTTTTGATGTTAACTCTTTACTTCTAAGCAATAACACAACTATCCTCTATTATAGCTTTTTCTATTCCTATTTGTAAATTTCTTTCAAGAAAATATCTTGAATGCCTTGAAGTTCAACATAAATCCTTATGAAAAGCATACTCAACCCACTATAAACATCCTTGTACTTGCTGCTTCCCCTTCACATTTCTGAAATTGGTATCAGTATTCTTATAGTCTTACAAATGGCATCTGTCATCAGTGACCCATCTCCTTATTCACACTGGTCTGCTTTTCTTCTCTTTTTGTTGGATCCCTACAGTCATATTTTATAAGAAAATAATTTGTATTTTCATGGAGTACCTGAACTAAGTATTCCAGACCAGGAGGGCAGTTGGCCATAGGAGTTGGCCCTGGCATCCATGTTACTGGAACAGGCTGACTTGGCACAGGATATTTTCCAGGCTGATAACAGACAGGATGGGTACCACCAATTGGCTGGTATGAAGGGAAGGTCCCAGGTTGCTGTGGACTGTAGTATGCCATAGGCAAGCCTCCTGGGTAGCCTGCATCTGGAGGGACAGCTGTTCCAGGGGGTCCTGTGTTCAAAAGAAATCAAAGTGTTTTACATTATTAACACTGCAAATTAGCATAACTTTTTACATGAAATAGATCACATGACATCCATTTAAAAATAACAATTGTTATTCTATTCTGAAATAAAAAAGATGGAAACAGTATTGCAACACTGCAATGTTTAATCATAAAAGTGCTTGTTTTTACTATGGTTGGAACATTTTCTCTGTAGATTTCCTCCTTGAAGAAAAACATATTCTTACCTAAATATAGGTTAAACTGTAGTTTCTTTCTGAAAATTACTGCTTTTCCTCATACTGTGTGTATAGGCATGTAAATCGGTTTTTTAACGTATCTGCTAAAAAATTATTGGATTTTCAGTCCAGATGACAGTTGAAAGATGTTAGGAGCTGAGAGTCACCTCAGGTTCACATAAGTATACCAAAAGAAACAAGACTAGAATAGTAGAAGCCCAATTTCAGCTGTGCTGTTGAAGCTCCACAAATGGTGTTATATTTCCCTAAGTAAACTCAGTTTTGGGAACTATAAGTCTATAGGACTAGCGAATCTTCTGTCTTTCGTAATCAAAGAGCAATGCCACACAGCTTTGTAGGGAAGAGATTGACATCTTCTGGAAAATGTAGACAGTCGGGCCGAGCGCTGTGGCTCACGCCTATAATTCCAGCATTTTGAGAGGCCAAGGTGGGTGGATTACCTGAGATCAGGAGTTCTAGATCAGCCTGGCCAACATGGTGAAACCCCATCTCTATTAAAAATACAAAATTAGCCAGGTGTGGTGGCACACACCTGTAATCCCAGCTACTCTAAAGGCTGATGTAGGCGAATTGTTTAGAACCTGGGAGTGGAGGTTACAGTGAGCCGAGATCGCGCCACTGAACTCTAGCCTGGACAACAGAGCAACATTCTGTCTCAACAAAAAAAAATGTAGATAGTACCATAGGCAGGGGTCTTTGAAAAGGTCACTCTTGCAGAATGAAAAATTCACTTAAATGTGATGAGATGGAGATTATGGTCTCTATCAGAGTCACCAAAGAGCTGGGTCTTGGATACCACTTAGATCTGGAAGAAAATCCTTTTAGAGAAAGCTATGTTGACTATGCAAAAAATAAAATAAAAGATAATAAAACTTACTGAGCTCTTTTCATATTCCAGGACTTGCTCTAACAACTTTACAAGAAGTAAATCTTGTAATGTTTACATCAACCCTATATAGTAGATACTATTATTATCCTAATTTACCGAGGAGAAAACTGAGTCATAGGGAGGTTACGCAACTTGGTGAAGGTCATTAGCTGATGTGCCAGGACCAGAATTAGAATTCCAGCATTCTGACTGCAGAAATAGCCTTAAGTACATTATGCTAATATCCTCCCTTGATCAGAGGCAAGGACAAAGGGTACCCCAGAAGTGATTCTATGGAGGGCTTTGGGCTTAGATTCTGGAAGGCTGGAAGGGCATCTCTAGCTAGCAGCTATTTTTAAGTCCTTAAGTTCTACCCCTTCACCTCCATGGGACATTAGTCTGGGGTCAACCAATACTGTGAAAGCCAGTCACCATCAGGAAGGAACACTCCCTGAGAGTTCCAGAAGTTCTTTGTGATGAAAAATAGTGCAAAGAAGGCATTTTCTGTAAGGGAAACTGAACAGAGGCTCAGATTCCCGTGATATGAACATTAGAGGAAGGAGTGGCCTTTGAAGCTGATAAAGTCTAAGACATTTTAGTTACTCATAAAAATGCCACTCTTAATAGTCATGAACTGTGAAATTCTCCTAATTTTATCTGAAAACAAAACCATGAGATAAATCAAAGATTCTTTTATCTGTGAAATATTCCTCAAGTCCATTTCAAGGATCAGCTTCTGTGCTTGCTGCTAGAAACGTAAGACAGAAAGACACACAAACATATGCCTATATCCAAGGGCAGCAAGTTCTGTGGAAGCTACAAAGATGTATAAGAAAAGGTGAATGGTTGTCTTGAAGCAAGTAATTGGCATAATCATAGGTAGACACAGAGTATGTAAAGGGATTAGATAGGATGAATACCTAACCTATGCAGAGAAGGTATACTATGATATAAGTGCTAACACACTAGACCTAGCCAGCATCTCCATGATGGGGAAAGGTTTTACAGGCAAACAGATAAGAACAAGCAGGTGCACAGAGGAGGCTCACTACTACAGGACTAACGTCTGTGAGTGGAGATTTAGCAGAGAAGGCTAGAAAGAGAGGATGGAGTGAAGATTATGAAAGACCTTTAACTTGATGCCAATCAAGTGGAAAGTAAAAGGATTCATTTTACATTTAGAATTCTTTATATATGAGGTCACATTAGGCAGGAAGTCCTTGCAAGGGTCTGAATAGAAGGGTGATTTTGGTAAAAGGAGCAGAGAGTAGAGAAATGGTCATTGACATTTTAAGATACAGCATTGACTTGGAAGTGGATGGGATATGAGAAAAGATCCTCAAGTTTCTGGCTTGGGATCCTGTAGGCCTCTAATGCAGGAGAAGAATAGAGGGGAAAAAATAGAGTTTAGAAGCAAGATAACAAAGGGGCTGGTGATCATTTAGTTTGAGATTCAATGGTTTTTCACAAGAAGCAGTCTATAGGAGGTTGGAAGTGCAAGTTTAGAGACTAGTAGACTGACATGATCTGTTAATTTCATCACTTATGTAGTTTATAAGTGATGAAAGAAAAGGAAATCTTCAGTATTAACAAGATCACTTAGAGACTGGGCATAGTGGCTCACGCCTGTATTCCCAGTACTTTGGGAGGCCGACGTGGGCGGATCACGAGGTCAGGAAATCGAGACCATCCTGGCCAACTGGTGAAACCCATCTCTACTAAAATACAAAAAAATTAGCCAGGCATGGTGGTGCATGCCTGTAGTCCCGGCTACTTGGGAGGCTGAGGTGGGCAATTGCTTGAACCTGAGAGGCAGAGATTGCAGTGAGCTGAGATTGTGCCACTGTACTCCAGCCTGGCGACAAAGCAAGACTCCATCTCAAAATAAAACAAATAATAATAACAACTTAGGAGAGTATGTAAAAGGAAGGGTGACTGGGAGAGAAGGGAGAAGGAGATGGGGAAGGGCAGGAAGAAACAAGGGAGTAGACCACAGAATTCTGGAAACAGCAGTTTTTAAGGGTAGAGACACAGAGTTTTTAACAGAAACTGAGAGAAGCAGACTTAAGGAAAAATAATGGTAATAGGAAGCAATGCCAAATTAGAGTTAAGTGAGGAAAAAAGTATAATGTATTTGGGAAAAAGTGAAGGAAAGTATGTATTTAAGTTTGTCATGAAGAACATACTTTAATTTTTTTAAGAATTGTGTTTACGAGTACTCAGATTAGACTAGAAATCAGATATCCATACCCTCTTTTTTCAACTGTCATTATAGATAACAATACAACTAAAAATCATATAAATTATCTTAAGAATATTAATCATATCACTTCAATGAGTAAATGATTAATCTACCATGCGCTTTTAATTAAAAAATACCTTATACTATAAAACTTGAAGAAAAAAGAAAGAAAATAAATCAGAAATAAATAAATCAGAAAGAAAAATTAAATCAGAAAAAAAATTAAAATATATATTTTGAGGCTATCCATATGGAGATTATATGTTCAAAAATTAAATTTATATTTAATTTATTTAAAAATTAAATACATATTTATGTAATTGAACAATTTTTGTTATAAGTATGTAATATCCAGAGATAAAAGAAGCTACGGAAAAAATATGATCAAATTAGATGTAGGAAATTAGTATATTATGCTTTTTGATGTTTTCATAAGAATTCTGATTGCTTCTGCAGAAAAACAAAGCAAAACAAAACAAAACATGTTTAACTTTGTGTAACTATATCATCTGAAACTTACGTAAATAAAGACCTCTGTTATGGAACTGTCCTACCAATACTGATGCAAGAAAAAATACCTAATAGGATTTGAGTTTTCTTAGTTATTTTGAACATCAGGAAATCATTCCATTTTCTCCTTAAAAAGACTAAATATAACAAAGGTTTCTTTACTAACTATTCTCTTAAGAATAGTGGATAAAATTATTTTTGGTGAGAACATATATGCAAAACTATAATGAAAATTTAAATTATGTAAAGAAATTTGGATGAATTCATTAACACTACATATTTCAAGTATAGATTTAAAGAATCTTAATGTGACTCTGACAATTTTTGTCAGTCTTCATAAGTTTACAGTCCAGCCACTAGGTGGTGGTCAGAGCTAAATTTTGCTATATTTTATAACAAAATTCATTAGTTGTGTGGTCTGCACTGTAATATTTTTACAACTTATCTTGTCATTTAATTTGAAGGATGTAGCCTACTCTCTTGCTGAATTATTGATATAGAAGAATAGACATATGTTTTATCAGATGAGAACATGATGTATAACCAAGGTTTTTCTCAGAAATGGTGAAGTTTCTGTTCTAGTAGAGTCCAGATTTTTGGATTTAGAGTAATCGTTAAATATAAGATAGATCCTGTATATCATGTTTAAGGTCACTGAAGTGACATACAGGGAAACTGTCAGATAAAGCATGATTATAATTTAATAATTTAATTTTTAATACCTTGGACTTAGGAAAGGTTGAGCTATTAATGAAGTATGTTGCTATGGACTTTATCCTCATAACGCACATACATGTTAGGAAAAGAGGAAAAAAGGGAAATCCTGATGCTTTCAGAAAACCCTGTAGGTGCAGAAGCTACCTGAGGTGCATGGATCATATGCCTAGAGCCAAAAAAAAAATACAAAACAAACAAACAAACAAAAAAACAAAAAAACCTTTGCCATTATCTTGTACATATCAAGGTTTTTTTTCCCCTTTCAGAGCGTAGCACAATGGTTTCTACTTCTAAATATACACTTAAATATATATATTTTTAAAATATTACTACAGTATATACATCATTACGTAAGTCATTAAAATGTATTTAAATACAATACTAACTGAAACTATTCCTTGGCCAAAAGTAAGGGCATTTAATTTTTAAAATTTTAGACTTAGCCAAATTACTTTCTAACGATCATAATATCTCAAATTTACACTAGCACTGTATAAGTAGTGATTCTCCCAAGATATCACCAGTAGTGCATTCAGACTTAAAAATATTTGCCAGAAAGATAAGCTCCTTTATCAGCACCCATGGCCATTCAATGCCATTTCTCTGCACATCTGCCATGTGCCTCATGCATGCCTCATACCAGACTTTCATGACCACGTACTTACTACTTTTGCACATATGATTCTTCCTGCTAAGGATAATCCTTTCCCCCTTTTCTTTGCTTGCGAAATTTTTATCATGACAGCAAAACTTGATCTCCTTAGTCAGGGCTTTCCTCAAATCCCTGGCAAAGGCAGATACTGTCTTCTGTGTCCTTACAACATTCTCTTCATATCCCCATATAGAATGGAGAGAATGTCACCCAATATTTGCACAACTTCCTTCCAAAAGCCTGTAAATCCTATGGCTACAGGTATATATATCTATATATATACACACATATCTACACACACACACATATATAATTATTTTTTGAGACCGAGTCTTACTCTGTTGCCAGGCTGAAGTGCAGTGGCATGATCTCAGCTCACTGCAACCTCCGCCTCCCAGGTTCAAGCGATTCCAACTGACATATAGTAAACTACATAGCCTACTAGCATCCAAAATTTATTTACTTATTAAAATCAATCAGTTAATTTGTTAACTTAAAAAGCAATTTATTCATTAGTATGCTTTTTAGGAAGGGAGAATATCCTTTATGAATATTTAACCTACCTGGTACAAAGTGAGAACTGTATTCAGGAGGGGCATCAGGCCTTGGATCTGGTGGTTTTGTTTGATTTTCCATTTCACCTGCAGGCTGTTCAGGGGCTGTGGGTACTACACCTTCAGGGAAAGAGAAGGGGCATGACTTACAAAGAAAACAATAATATGATGACAAAATGTATCCATTTTTTTCTTACTGGTATGCATCAAGCAATATAATCAACTGGAAATGTACTTGTAAGATTTCTAATAAAAAGAATTCATCATATATTAGACACTACCTATTAATAAATTTTATGAATTTTCAAACTGAATATAGATTTAAAAATAGAACTAAACAATTATATTATGCCTGTGATCAAAGCAGAGCTTTTATACTAGTGGTTCAACTGCCCCAATGCTCTTACCTACAAAGTAAATTCCTTGCATAATAGTAAAAGTTATTTTTCCCATTACCTAATACAGAGGACACAGGCATTTATAGAGTGAAGTTGATGTTTTTCCTAATTCTTTTTGAAAAGTACTGTCTTAAAAAATTCAAAACATAACACCATAAAGACATAATGGCTTAATAAACAGTGTTGTCACACATAACTCAATTAGCAATAGTTTAGTCTACATCTCCAGTGACTCACATTTTCACTGTATTCTTTTTAAAAGCAATCTAGGTCACAGTAGTGGCTGCAAAGGAGGTAGTAATGTCATTTTCACAATGTTGCGCCTTGTCTTCTTGTTGAGATTAGAGAAGTTTCTCTCTGGGCTTACTATAAAATAAGTTCTGAATTTCCTAAACAACTGGTTGACTTTTATCTCCTAGCAAACAAAAATCCCGTAAATGTGGTTCTTCTCTCTTTATGTAAGTTACTGGAAAATACAAGGCTTACTTTCATTCTCCTCTACCAAGGCAGGATGTTGCCAAAGACTCTCTTTGCAGAACTGCTTTCCTACTCTTGCTTTTTATATTATCTAATTTTCCCCACAAACTTCAAAGATTATTCAGTAGATATGTGCCCCACTGTCAGACCCTTTTTAATCCTTTTTGACAATGATAGGAATGTCTGTATTCATAAATAAATATATATATATGCACATATATACACACACACATACACATTCTTCAATGTTAAACAAAAAAAAAATTCAAAACAAAATAAAGTCCCCCTTTAAGGAAAATAATCACATAATTCTGTTTGAAAATAAAGCGTATTTAAATTTATTCACAAAAACTTACCTGACATTTTGTAGAATTCCAATTAATCTGAAAAATAAAAAATGTTAATGCCTTTAAAATATATACATAATAAATAGTATTACTACTCAGTGACACAGGTAAGGATTTCTGTAATTTTCTTTAGTCTCCAATTACCTTACGTTCATCCCTTCATTAACTCAACAAATACTTAATGAGTACCTATTATGTATGAGGCATTATTATAGATGTTGAGAATACACCAAACATAAAGCAGACAGACACTCTGCTGCCCACTGTGCAGCAGTTTATATTGTAGTAGGACAAGATTTAAAAAAACATGTCAATAAACTAAGTTTAGATAGTACAGTTATGAGGAAAACAATATAACAGTCTTAAGAGAAACATGGATGATTAGTTCTGGGAAAGTCAGGGAAAGCCTGTCTCAGGAAGTGGCCTTTGAGCTGTTTGAACTATGAAAAATAAACATCACACTACAATTGTGGGAAGAGAGTTCTAGGAAGATAGGAAATTAGTGCAAAGGGTCAGAGATGGCAGTGAGCTTGGGATATTCAAGGGAGAAAAAGGGACGTGGTTAGGAGTGACTGGGCCACAGTGAGTGAAGGGAACTGAGGTAAGTCATGGAGACAGAGAGGTCTGATCTCATCAGAAGGTCATGGCAAGGTGTTTCGCATTTCTGGTATTTGGAACTTGGAAGTCTAGAGGATTTTGTCAATGGAGTGATCAAATCTACTGACACCATACAGTGAGAGCAAGAGTAGAAGCAGGGAGCCGTGAGGCATGACAACAGCAATCCAGGTGAGAGTGAAGCCAGCTTAGACAGGGAGGTGACATTGTGGAGAGCTAGGGGTGGTAAGAGGCATGACACCGTTTGGAAGCAGGGCCTCCAAGAGTTGCTGATGGACTAAGGTAAAGAGAGGAATGGAAGAGGGTTCTGAGTTTTAGCCCAAGGTAACTGAGTTGATGGTGATGCTTTTAACACAACTCGAGAGGAGGACAGTAGGGGAATAGTGGGGATGCAGGAGGGTAAGAATTGAAAGTTTAGACTGGAGTATGTGATGTTTAAGAAGAGGCCAGAAGAAGATAAGATAAACATTTAAGTTAAAAATATGTATGGAAACATTATGAGAATAACTCAGAGATGGAGACTAGAAATTGAGATGAGATTTGAAACAAGGAAAGAGGATGAAGGTAAAATTTTCTGAATTTAGTCAAGCAAAAAAAAGGCTATTAGAAGGGAATTTCAATATATCTGAATTTCTGAGCTCTGAGTAATGACAAATAACAAGAAGAACATCAACAAAGGCTGTAATTTACTGAATGCTTATCAAGTGTTATGCAAAGGGCCCAATGCTTTTCATATATAACAACTCTCTAATGTGTAAATAGCCAGCCCTGCTAAAGGCAAGTACTTCTAAATCCTAAGCCTACGTACCTTTCAATACGTGATGATGTTTGTAAGAATGCAGTCATTTGTGTTGTCCAAGTGGAGTAAAAAAGTATCAAGTTACAGTAGATCAAAGAAGCATTCGAACACCAAGACTGAGTCATCAAATGGGCACTGAGCTGACTCAATGAAAATTGCCATGGTATGAGTCAATATGTAGATTCCCAGCTGAAATGATTGTCTTGACAATATGGGCTAAAGTTCAACCAGTCTTGGACCATCTCCACTCACTTCTGGAGCTGGTGTTTGTTGTACAGTGCCTTATGTGTCTCGAAGGTTAAAAAAATATATATACTTTTTTTTATTATATATATTTTTATATATTATATAAATATATTATATTATATATAATATTATATATATATTATATATTATATATAATAAAATATATATTATATATATTATATTATATATTATATATAATAAAATATATATAATATATATTTTATTATATATATAATATATATATATAAAATAAAAAAATATTTATTTTATTGTATTATGTGAATGTACTAGAATTTATTCAGTCTGAATAAATTCTGGTACATTCACATAATATAATAGTACACTGTAGTGAAAACAAATTACAGCTGTGCCCATTTACAGAGATGAATCTCAAAATTACAACACAACAGAAAAAGCAAAGCATTGAAGAATACATATAGTATGATTCCATGTAAGAATGTTCAGAAGCAGGAATTCTAAACAAAACACTTTTTCTGATAAATATACGGAGGAAAACTTTTAAAAAATGCTAGGGAATTAAAAACACAAAATTTCAGAAAAGGGTTAAATACAAAGAAGTGATGAGGGGCAGCTGTTTAGCAGTGGCCCACAAGGAGCTCTAAGTTCCTGCCAATGTTAAAGTCCTATTAGGGTGATATGAACAAGGCTAATGTCTTGTTATTAGTTTCTAAAGGATATGTACATGTTTAAAATACATATTTACACGTATGGCATTATTTCACAATAAACAAGAACCATTTGACAGTTATACGTTGAGTGTGACCTTCTTCTAACTAATGGTCTGTTGTCACTTTCTATGTTAAGTCTGGAGATTGCAAACTATCAAGGAGCCACAGAGAAAGTAATTACAACAGATTATTAAATGCCTTAGTGAAAAGAAGCCAAATGATTTTATCTATCTATCTGTCCACCTATCATCTATCTATCTATAGTGGCAAACTTTTAACAATTGCTGAATCTCAGTGAAGAAATACATTTGAATATTAATTTTTAAATATTTATTTTCAAAATAAAACTTTGAAAAATACAGAATTCTGGACTCCAAACCGAAAGTAGCACCTCTGGGGTGCAGTTCTGGAAATCTTTACTTTTAACACAGTCCCAGGTGATCCTTATGATCAGGCAGGTCTGAGATTAATTCAATGTAAAGAAAAATAATAGTTCTCAACCATGCCAGGCATTATTAACAGTTCAAATCTAATTCAAATAATTGAATAATAACTTGAAAAAAATAAATTAGTAAAATTTTAGAAATTTATATAGTCGTAATACATTTGTTGCTTTGTAATAGGCAACAAATCTCGATGAGTTTAAATAAAAGAAAAATACCTACATATTGCCTCACAAGTTTCAGATAGTCAAAAAGTCTGTTTACCTTCCATCTCCTTTGAGCTGCTAGTATTTTTTCTTCTCACCACCCTATATATATTCCCTTTCTTGTACAATTTTATAATATACTTTTAGCCAAGATATTGTGGAAGGCAGGATGATTTCCAATTGGTAGAAGCATGAATGTTGTTAACGTAATCCTCCTTTAATATTCAGTGCATCACTTTATATTTCTCTATCACTTAACAAGAACAAAAAGTGCCTTAACTTGAAAAAACTGATTTTTGGCTTTATATCTGACAGAAACCAGATTGGAAAACTGAGCTATGTCTCCAAAACAGGTTGGTATTACAATGTCTGGAGAGCTGTTAATTGCAGAGGCCTTGGCATTTTTGGGGCATGGACTAGACAGGACAAGGTTGGTGAGATTGAGGTTTGCTGCTTTGCAAAGCAGCCCTGATATCTTAAATTGCATCCTACAGCAAGAGTGCTGTATTTTATTATATGCTATTATATGCATATCACTTGCTACACTCAAAAAAGTGCAGCTGTGTTATATGCCCACTTTTCAATTTCACCAATGTAAACAGTAACAAACTCACAGAACTCAATAAAACCACAAGTTCTAGAACCCATACCAGGGATATTTGCAAATTCAATCACAAAACTCAAAAGGAGGATTAGCTCTTTACATTAGGGTATTTATTGGAAGCTGTCCTGGCCTCTTGACAAGGGAGGCTCTGGGCAAGTGAGAATCTCCAGGCACAAGGCTTGGAAACTGCCTATGCATTCCAAAACTCTGGGTCCTGTCTGTCTCCAGTGCCTTTAACTCTGAGAGAAGAGAAAAGAAAGCAGGCCAATGAACAATTCCTTCTGGTTTTTAGCAGGGACGACAAAAATATTTCATTCCTGCAAAGACCTACACCAGCTACCATGATATCCCTTTTGCGTTTCTTATATAACTGTTAGGAGATTATATCCTTTGTTCATCTTAATCTTCCCTTAAGAATACCTGGAGAAAAGGAGATTTGTGTGGCTATTAAATACTGTATGCTGGCACACTTTAGACAGTATGGACAGTGGCCCAGAGCGTGGGTTCAAATTTCAGGTCTTTCTCTGATCGCTGTGTAATCTTGAGTTGACTGGTCTGTTCTTAGGTTATCCTGTTTATCACAGGGATGATGACGGTTTGACAAACCTTACACAAATATTGTGAAGACTATAACAATTACATCTGTATAGCACTTAAAACACTGCCTGCCATATAAAAAAATCCTCAGTAAACTTGGATTATTACAATTTCACTAGTAAGACATACTAACTGATAAAGAGATCAATAATAAATGTGTGTGTTTAACTGTGAAATTAAAAAAAAAAAAAAGCTGTCTGCCAGTGAGCCACTCAGCATGTACTACTGAGCATCCACATGTAAGATTTTACTCTGGGTTCTGAGCTGACACCACTAATTCCCATCTTCTATAACCAGTAAGATTCCAGCAAATGAGGTTTCATGAGCACTGTTTGTAATGAATTTCAAAGTGGAAGGAGTGGGGAGAAAAAAAAATTGGAGATATTGCCAAAGGGCTTTTCTCTATTTGTAGCTCCATCAAAGACAAATGAGTTAGGGTACACCTTAAGTGGCTACAAAATTTGCTTTCAGTTCAGGATAGTGACATTAATTATATTATTCAGATGATGGATTTATCTTGTAAACTTTAAAAAGATCAGCAAATTAAGATATTAGTGACATATTCCAAAAAGTAAAAGAATATAGTGTTCATTACATCAACATATAAATATTGAGGTGTTTTTTATAATTTTGTACTATGAAAATTGAATATTTGTCTATATTAGGATAGTACTTCATGGTATAAGATGCAACTGAGCTAACATGTGTAAGTGATTAGAAGAAATAAAACATTTTATGTATAAGAAAATCTTTTTGAAACTAAATAAAAATATAAATACTATTTAAATGTTTAAATTTTATAATCCCCTTAATATATCACAAGTATCTAGGTTGGGT